TTTCTGCCTTCATTCGCTCAAACATCGCCTGTCCACAACAATATAAACACAAACATTATTTTACTAGTACATCTCATGCAATGACCAAAAGATGATTTTATGAACCAAAACAACAATCACTACAAAGAGACCCTAGACCAAAACTCATATTAATTGGTCATCTTCATATAAATGGCATGTCTAGTGAAAATCAATCAATTGTCTAGACCAATCACTACTTGTAGTACTATAATCAAATATAAAACTTTAGCCATGGTAAGTGTAGATTAACCTTGGTGGCACGTGGCTCCACAAATGACTTATTAGCCTCGATCATAAAGAAAGAGGCCAAGAGATTGACCCCTTGCCACATCTCCGCCGCATCGGTAAGAAGTTTCTTGCGGCGGTTAAGCACGTGACCAAACAAACCCACAAGTATTGCCACAGAGATCGCCTTGAAGTAAACAGGATAAAGCTTACTCTGCACCACCCCAAACTGTTGTCTCCCCAACACCGAGGCTAACACGTAGCTCGACACAAACGTCACCCACACGCAAGTCCCATACGCAGCCGCAATCGCTGTTAAACCCACCACGCTCCCTACCTTCGTCGGACTCAGCGCCGCAACCGTCTCTGACCCGAATCCACGCGCCGCCGTCTTAACTCTATCCCACTCGTTCTCATACTTATGAGCCGCCGTCTCCTTCAACTCGTGAGCCTTCTCTCTCACTCTATCTTTAGCCGCCTCCTTCGATTCATGAGCTTTATGAGCCACACTCTCCTTCACTTCGTGGGCTTTTTCTTTTACTTTCTCTTTAGCGTCTTGAGCTTTATGCACTACACTCTCCTTCACATCATACGCTTTGCCGGTTACCTTCTCCTTCGCATGTTCGGCTTTATCAGATACCGTTTCTTCCACGTCACGTGCGGCACGTGCAACCGTCTCCTTCACATCGTGAGCCTTCTCCGCCACAGCATCGGAAATCGTCTCGCCAACATCACCGACGGTACCGGCGGTTCGGTCTTTACCCTTACCGACAACACTCGCGATCTTCTGCCTACACTTACCGAACGCGTCGCATATGACTTCACCAGCAGTAGCGTGGTGATCACGTGACTCTTCTCCGGTCACCACCGGCTGAGAGATGCCTTGGCCGACGTTAGGTAAATACGACGCCGTTTCTTTCGCTTTCTCTTTGGCATTTCGAAACAGAGCATTTCCCTTTTGTTCTTCGTCTCCTTGATCTGCCGATGGTGGCGAGATCGAGACTCTGGTATTGGTTTTACCATCGCGATCGTACTCAACCACCACAACACGGTGTCCGTCTTTGACGATGACATCACCTTCAGATCCGGTGCCGTGAGTGGATGTGGGTGGGCTCGGAGACCATACTTCCGCCGCAAGTAAAGTGCTCAAGACAAGACACAAAGCCAATAGATTCGTCATTGTATTATCTGTTTGTTCATTCCTCTGACCATCATCAAATCATAACTATAAACACTTTCCAAGGATGTTGAAACCGTACTATGCAATTTTTACTTGCTGATAGACACGTGTCGCCACGTCTTGGCACGTGTCACCTCTTCGAGAAAAGTGAACTTCTGTGACCGCTCGACGATAAGCACCCCACCTGTCTTGCACTTTTACACATCACCCGAAACGGTCGCGTTGTTCGTTACAATGAACCACATATTGAGCCTTGTTGGGCCTAATTCAGGAAATTGCTAGAATCGACTGAAATCAGAAATAAGGTCAATCTAGTGAGAAATACAAAATGCGGATATTTTTTCCGAGTTAATGTCAAAAGCCC